AATAAGAAGTGAGACTTTAAGGGAGTACATATTTTTTATATTAAATTTTAATTTTAAATTAGGTTTTTTCTGAATATAGCTACTAATTAGAAAATATAGATATCTATTTATTTATTCTAAATTTGACATATTTATATTTATATATTTCAATAATTAAATTTTGTTAGATAAAATAAGAGCGCTCTAATCGAGAGATATTCTAATCGCGCCCTGCTGAACAAGTACATATATGCCTTTTAGGGTATGCCACGCCTCCTTCTGCCTATTACATTTTAACAAAAACTTTACTCCCATTTTCAATGGGTTCAGGGTATAAAAACGCACTTTCATGCGACCTTAAACCCCATAAACAAATTGAGATTTCTAGAAACTAATTAAGCAAATTATTTTAATTAGATTGAAGCGTTCTTTAGACTTTGAACCTATTGGAAATGGAAATTCTGTATCTTTGTCCGTTGAGCTCGAGCCGATGTGCAACTATGATTAATGCATAGCTAAGCTGCATTGGATACCGGCTGTCACCTGTAAAGTGTAGCACACTCTTTCTTCTTCTTGCTTCAAGTCATCATCACCTCTTAGTCAAGCGGAGCTTAGTGAAAGGCCTAAAATCCCAGCTAGCAATTATTTGTTCCCCAAGTACTAAATGCCTGAAAGTAGGCAATAAAAAGGCATAGCGGCCAAAGCCTTTTTCAACACTAAAAGCTACTCAACGCCTACGTTTCCCCCTTTTTTCTGCAGCTAATTGATGAGCAGCAAATGGCGCGTAGAGCAAGAAAAAAACGTAGAAAAAAAGCAGAAAAGCGAAGAGCAAAATGCGAGCAGAAAATGCAAAAAAAAAAAACGTTTTACCGTCGGCAACTGTCAAGCGAAATCTTTGAGCATTGCTCAAACGCTTTGCGAACAATTAAAGGTGCAGCCGAAATGGCTAAAATGGCAGAAAGTGGCTAAAAGTGTCTAGAAAGGGCTACCATTTAGCCAGAGTCCTTGAGCTCCGGGCTTTAGAAATTAGAATTAATATTTTTTCGCTGAGTTAACACAATTTCAAGTTGGTTGCGCGACCATAAACTGAATAACGGTCAGCTCTTCGTGCTGTTGTTGTTATTGTTGTTGTCGTTAGCACCTGTGTGTGCCTATGCTAGTGTGTGTGGGTGTGTGCTTGTGTACAGCAGCTCCTGCCAAGGGAAATGTAAGCTTTTGCACGTCTTGTGCTGAGCCAGCTGCAACGATGGCAGCTGCAGCTGCGCTGATAATAAATTCATGATGAAGTGCAATTTATACACTTCATATGCGAACCCCGCCCACTTCACGGTCGAACTCAACCCAACCGAACACATTCCAGCCAGAGTCAGCCTGCCGCCTTGTCCAGTCTTTCTGCTGAGCTTCGCAGCGGCCAAACAGAGAAAATAGTGAAAAAAAAAAACAGAATTTCCAAGTTTTTCGCAGCGATGCATTAAGCCTTGAAATGTTTGCGGCTAAAACTAATTACGAATGCGACGTCTCTCGCTCACCCACAAAAGTTTCTCTTGACTAAAAGTGTTCGCAGTATGAAAATGTTCCTCTTTGAATGCAATTTCATTTGAAATTAATCTAATTTTTAGTGCATTTTCTTTCGCTGCTGATTCTGCATTCTGTAATTCTCCAATTCTCTAATTCCGTATTCAGCGTTTCAGTTCGCTTCTGCATGCAAATGAGCTGCCCTTATGTATCAGCCAATTTGTGTATCACGCCCACAATGCGCCGCCCCACATCTGAATATTCTTCATCATGCAAATGATTTCCCTTTCGGCCAGCCAGCCAGCCAGGTGGCCGGTAATGGACTTGCAATAGGCTCGTCTCACGCATACATTACGATTCGACGCATATATTGGTTGAGCGAAATATTTCCTTTTGCCATATGAAAGATGAAAATGCAATTTTCGTGTAATTTAATTGTGCTGAAATTATTTGCATTAATTGCAGTAAGAAAATTCAATTTTGATCTGAACCGAATAAGCTTGCCTTGTCATGGCCAACTTTAATTGAAATACAGCTAATTGAATTTCCCAGCCAACTGCAAATGATTTTCTTTTTAATTAGTCCTTCAATTAGATCAATAACTTTTTAAATGCAGAAAATGTTCAAATAAATATATTAAGTTATATAATTATATTAAGTTATATATAAAGAAATCGATTTCGGAAACTTGAAGAACTAAAGACTTTTAGTTCTTTTGGTGTATACTTATATAGCAAATCAATACCTTCTCAAACAATTGATGAGTTGTAATAAAATGTTGAAAAATGCATAATATTATAGCTCACTAATTTCATTATATCGAATATTAAAATTCTTTTAAATAAATTACAAATATTCATAAGATACTTCGTAGAAAACAGTTTAGATGTTTTAGTTGTTATCAAAATCAGTTTAATAAGTATTTTTAGATTTATTATTTCCCAACGAGCGAATCATAAAATTTATAGATTTGCCTGACTTACAGAGTCTGCCGATTTTAGCTCTCAAACTAAAAACTATATATATATAATTTTTCCAATAAATGATATTCTCAGAAGACGTAGATTTATAACTTTAAACCAATATACAGATCAAGAAACCTGCAACTCAGTTGAAAATCATTTGATCAATAGGCAGACGCATATGCACATAGTATATTTATTTAAGAGTGTTGCTTATACGAGTATATGCTCCAACTTTTAAGTGTCTAGTTTCTATAGCAACAAAATGCTTTTGCATACAGACAGCTAAACAAACTGGTACATGAACAGAAATTTAACGAAATTAATATACTATTTTTGCTTCCTGAATAGCATATAGAAAGTGGCTTAAAAAGCAAGAAACTATATTTAATATTAATGGCTAATAACTTATTTACTATTGAGTTTGAGAAGAAGAAGCAAACGTGCAAAATGCAAACATAAATTGAATTTATTTTTCTTTCTTCATATTCTTAAGAAATAATTCGAGAATTAGATTTGAATTTATTATTTTCAATATTTTTTGTTTTTAAAAAAAAAATATATATATATAAATTTCATTAAATTATTTATTTGTTAATACTTACATTTATTATAAAATATGATAATTTAAAGATTCATTAATATTTCTTGTTCTACAGATGTTAAATATTTAATTTCATTTTCACAGCATCTGAACAATTTCTCTATTATTTTGATGGCCAAAACGTAATTTAGTTAGCCACACAATTTAACATGTCAAATCATTTTTAATTTATTCGATTCATGTTTAATTACTGTAGCAGTCAATTATTTAGTAACGAATTAAATATATATGTAAATGTGCTTGCATTGAAACAAAGTGTAAATGGCCTTCAGTTAAGGAAATGTATCGTATATATACAAATATATATAGATATATATATATATATTGTTTGTTAGCTGTGCACACTGAAACAATTTGATTGCTTGGCCCGCATGTTGTACGCCTAATTAGGCGCTCAAATTATGCACATTTAATAACAAATATTTATTCAAATGTTTCATGTACTTGCAGAGCTTACTCTTAATTAATCTCAAGAAATTTAAAAGTTTTGGAAAGGCAAACTGTGTATACCGAAATACAAGAGTAGGGCCTGATTATTTATAACTTTATCTTTTACATTAATAATAAATTCATTTCAAATTTAAATATATTTGTAAAGAATTTTTCATATGTGGTTTCTTGTCGTCTTTATAAAGCAATGCTCTATGTCGGACAAGACAGTTAAGATTCAGTTTTTAAAGATCTAATAAAATTAATTAAATCGAAAATGTGTTCGTAATCAACCAAATAAATAGATATATATGTATACATAAATGTAGCCACCTAAGATTTTAATTTATACTTCCACAGCTGCTACCAAGCGTGCCGTATGCATTCCCAGCATGACAATAGCGATTCGATTCTGTTCGTCCACTTACAATCATAACGACCCTTTCCGAATGTCTCAAAAAGCCATCTCACTCTCAATCAGCAACACCCAAAATTACATTCAGCAAAAACTAACTTTGTCTCCCTCTCACGGAGTCACAATTTGAGGCTACAAGCCAGAACTGAGTAGCGTGCAGCCAAGACGCAAACTCACTTGGATTATAACTTCACAACAAATTTGTATAACTCTGAGTCTTACACCAAAACAACTGCAACAGTAGAAGGCAATCATAAATTGCAAAACTTAGAAAGCATATTATATATATATATATATAATATTATATCGATATATAATATTATATCATATTATTTCAGAGATAAAAAATTTTAAATGATTTAAAAAATAAATATAAACAATCAAAGTTATCTACTGAATGCATTTGATTTAATTTAATTTAATTAATTAAACTCGATTGCTTAGATTTATTTATATTTATTTTTAGAACTGTATGAATCATTTTAAAAATTATTACAAATTAGTTATGAAATGAGGAAAATAAGATTTCCAATAATTTTGAGTATGTGTAAACCCGATTTAATATAGAATTATTAATTTACTGATCACACAATTTTAAAGCAATTGTCCAAATTTAAAAGAAGTTAAAAAAATATTTATGCTTTGAATAAGTCTCAACTGAAATTCAAAAGTTTTACATATCATGTATGCCATCAAATTCTTTTAATTTTATATTAGAAAGTTGCTCTATTTCTTAAATATCTCGTTTAAAATCACAGTTAACAACTTTCCTCTATGCCCAACATCTGACTACTGTATTATGTAGCTCTTATAATTAATAGACAACTGACTTCAAAGAGCTATGTCCACAAGGCATTTATTATTCGACAATTTATTCTCTCTCGTTATATATCAGAATTAGAATTTCAATCCACGAGAGCTCACACTTAATTCGACTATCAATTAAAGAATCAAATACTCAAAGTTAGACAAATAATTTTATGCTTTAATTGTGTGATAATTGTTAGGCACTTAATGTTCAACTAGCGACATTTATTATTATAATACCAAATTAGAGTGCTTAAGACTAAAAAAAAAGCTGCGCAATCATGTGGAGGCAGAGCTTAAGGCGAGATCTGAAGACCATGTCCATGAGCATGACGATTGCCGGCAAAGGGCAGCGACACCAGCATGCTGAACAGCTTTCTTCTAAGAAGCGAGTGCGTGAGAGACAGAGAAAGAGAGTGGGCGGTGGGTATTGTAAGAAAGAGAAAGACACATTTGATAAGGCGATTATAAATTGAAGATTCTTTGTTTATTGATGCGCTTACAAGATGGAACCAGAGTTGCGTTTGGTGCGGCATTTGCCCTGCGCATCGCGGAACTGATGGGCGCGACAGCGTGCGGTCGTCTCAGCTGGTGCGGCACGTTGCACTTTGACCTTGAATATGGGCGAATCATGACCTTGAGCGGGCGTATACTCTATACGCGGGGGATAGTACGGGGCAGTTGGAGCTGCAGCGATCGGTGTTCTTGATGTTGTTTTTGTTGTTGTCGTTGTCGTTAGGGGCTCATCTTTGGAGCGCGCATGCAACCATTTGGGCAACAGCGTTGACGAGCCGCCTATGGGCGTCTCCATAATAATTAAATTGTTCGCCTTGGGACGCAATCGTTGCGTCGCTGCAATGTCCGCCAAGAGCTGAGCGCTATAGGAGCTCATATTGCTGCTGGGCGTTGGTATCGACGCAGCAGCAGTAGCGACAGTTGTTGGCTGACTTGCTGTAGGTGTGCTTGATGGTTCTGCGGATGATGTTGCTGTTTCCGTTGTTGTTGTTGTTGCTGCTGTTGCTGCTGTGCTGGCTTCGGTGGTAAACTTGATGGGCTTAATGGTCAGCGCACTGTCATCATAGTAGTAATCATCGTCGTCCTCATTATACGATTCCTAATAAAATGCAGAAACATGAGACAAGTAAGAAAGTTGTCATCGGGCTAAAGCAGCTGCAAAATACTCGTTCACTGCCCAAAAATTGCTAAATTCAATCAACTTCGGGTAGCTGTGAAGCTCCAAGGGCGAGCTATCTACTGAGAATGTCAACAGAGATCAAAAGAAGATATCTCTTAACTTGATTATCCTTGCTCTAAAGAGAAGGTCAGGACTCTCTGAAACCAATATACTCTTTTCACTGTGTCAGCAAGTATAACAAGGAAGTTATTTTTAGCCAACTCTCATTGTTCAACTTGTCTTGGCCACATTCCAACACAAATACTTACATCGGCCAGCTCATTTTGATCCACCTCTATGATGGCCACATCCTTGATGCTCACGTGTATATTGTATTTGCCCGTCTGGCGTTGATCGTAGAGCGCACGAGACGATTCATTTTCCTCTGGCTCTTGCTGCAGCGGCTGCATTTGAACGTGCAACACGCTAAACGTTAACAACATCAACGACGACAGCTTCAACATTCTGAGCGAGATTGAGAGATGCGAGAAACCAGTTCTGGGCCAGTAGCAATTGCAGTTAGCTGTCTTCCACTCAACACTTTTCAGAACTGTTGGCTTGAACGATACGCGAGCAACTGAGCTGACCAGCCGCTTGGAGGGCTCTACTTAAAGGTTCTCGATGGCACCTACTTAGTTGCCAAGGTGTAAGAATATTTTATGTGCTGCAAGAGGCGCTGCTAAGGTGTCAGCTGCTGATAAGCATAAACTAGTTCTGCACATGTCTCACTTCAAGAAGAAACTGTGAGTTCAGCATAATTTGGCAAGCAACATTTTTCACTTTGAAGTTTCTCAGTTGCCAAAAGAAGATATATGAAGATGAAGCTGTTGAAATTATGTCAAATTCTCAAGAGTCAAGTCAGGTTGTCAAAATAATAATAATAATGCTTAATGAATATTAATAATATAAATTAGATTATATTAAAATACTTTTAAGTGATTGCAATTTCTTCTACTATTTTATATTAATTAAATAAAGATAACTTTGAGTTCAAATCTATGTTAATTTCTGTTTTTAAGCTATATTTTAGAGCAAAAATTTAAATTAATTTTTAGAGCTTACGTTTTATTCTGTGTATTATAAAGTTAAGATACTTGAATCTATAGCTTTAATGATATTTTTTATGATTCTAGTAAAATACTTACAAGTAGTTGCAATCAATCATTTTATTTGATTTGTTAATAATAATTAACATTTGTGAGATATAAATCTTATACTTAATGACCTTCACAAACTTAAGTAAAAAGACTTTTATCTTTGTCTTGATATTAACTATCTATTAGAAATCTTAAAGTTATTTTGTATTATAGTAATAATAACATACATATATCTATTCTCATGTCTACTTAAAATTAAATAAATAAGCTTTTTTTTAAATATTGTGAATCATTTTTCAGGCTTAGAGATTCAAACACCTCACTTGTTTTTCTTACAGATAAAGCTATTTATTATGCATTAAAAACTTAAATGACTTATATTACTTAGTTCAGACTTTACTTCTTTGGCCACTTTTAAAAATATTTATATTTAATTTTAAAAGTTCCCCTCGACACACTCAGAAGTAAACCAAACAGTTCTCTTCAGTTCAGCTCGGTAGTATCTAAACTAGCCTTTTTTCTTTTGGTTCTACAGCAGCTAGCATCAATATTTGCATGCACTATGCAAATGCAAACACTCGAATGCCATCTTAAAGGTTCTCGAGCGGTATTGACGGATAGGGAGGCGGTTAATGGGGGGAGGGGCTGACCGCACGCAATGTGTACCCATGTAATTTGAGTTGAGTGGTCAGCAAGAAATGAACCATCAGCAACACCAACTAAATGCTCAACTGCATCTAATCATAAGCGCAAACAGATAACAGCACGCACAAATAGTTCCCGACACTTGGGTTACGAGTTCTGATTGCCGTGAGAACTTATTGGATCAGGTGGGTGTGTGTAAATAGAGCATGGCATAGAATTCAAGATGAAATAAATGTTCTGGAATAAATGACTGTATGAGTGGTTATAGAAAAAGATAAGGGTGCTCTTTGTATAGAGTTGAAATACATATGATGAAGTGAATAAAATAGTAAAATAAGTTGAATTTTTTTAGGAAAATCAACTTTGAATATAGTTAACATTTTCATATACAGTTATCAAAAAAAATATTCATTAAATTTGTACAAATAAATATATTAATTACCAAAACAGCACAGCTTAAAATAAGTTACAAACTAAGAATAGTTTCTATATTTAAATATCATATATTTTTCATATGTATATTTTCAAAAACCTACTCAAAACTCAGCCCGTTTAAAGTCGATCAATTTAAGGCATATATTTAATATCTGCGCCGACTCGCCTTTCCCTTTAATGTGAACTGTTAATTTAAGCAAATAAAATTGGATAATATTTACAACAGAATTTAAAACACTTTCAATGTTTGCTGTCAGCGCGTATTTTCATTTACACTTTCAGTTTTTGTTGTTTTTTCGCTTTTTGATTACTTTTTGTTTTAGTGAAATGTTTTTTTTTGTTTTTGTTAAAATTTTCTTTAATTGAAATTGATGAATTGCTCTGGCAGTGGCATTTATTTACTTAATTGAGGAGTCAATTGCATTTTGTAATGCTGAATGCAACACGCAGCAGTTTTTCTTACACAACAGCAGGACACGCCTCTTGCGCCTATCCCAGCGAGAGATTCATTTGGGATGTGTCGTGCAATCATTTTTCATCTTTATATAAAATGATTTTTTGTATGTATATGCATTTATGTGTATGTGTGTGTGTGTGTTTTCTCATATACGTGTGTACATTAATGTGTGTTTGTAATTTCCGCCATTGCAAAATGGCCGACGAGACAGCTGCAATTGCAATACGACTGCTGCAACTGCAACTGTAGCTGTAGCTGTAATTGCAACTGTTGCATGCATGTGTGTCCCTGTACGCAGCGCACTAATTAAATTAATTGCTTAATTTTAACTTAATTTGCCACATGTGGCAAGTTGTGTTCGCTCGTTTTGTTTGCCCCATTGCTCACACGTGCATTTGCCTGTGCTTTCGCTTCTTCTGCCAGCCAATTACTGCACGTTCTCTTTGGATAACCATAAAATTTGGTTTGTTGCCATAACAACACCAACAACAACAGCAATTGTGTCTCTACGGATGTGCATTTGTGTGGTTGCATGTGTGTGGGTGTGCGTATGCTTCAGTTGGGGCTTTTCGCATGGAAAAACTTTAACATCTAGCACTTGGTCAAGTTTTAAACACCATCATGCCTGAAGAACAGTTTGCGAACATTTTAAAGAATATGCCATACACATTTCGCATTATTCTTTGAATAAATCATATAAATTATGCAATAGTTAAGAACATCACAAAGCACAAAATATGTATAATAAAGAGAATTTCAAACTATGAAATTAACTTTTAGCCACAAGTTTTTCAAATTGTTGCAGTAGAGTTTTTATATATTATATTTAGATTCTGTATCAAGAAATGTTATCAATTCATGTTTAGGATATATAAATCATTTAAATTGTGAATTTAATGAAAAGCAGATAAATAAAAGCCAAGTTATTAGTTTATGAAATTAAAAAATTATAAAATTATAAAATTAAAATAAATAAAAAAATAAAAAACTAGAAAACAATTAATATTTTATTATTTATATCTATATTTAAATTATTATATTATATATTATATTTAAATTATTTATTTATTTGTTAGAGTTGATGTGCGTTATGTAGGCGTTCGAATCTTGTTGTCCTAATATCGTTTATTATTTGTCTTTTCTTTACTGCTCAATATAAGCCCTAGTCGGGCACCCTGACTAGAGCTTTCCTACTTGTCAAACACTTGTAAAGGACGCGAAATAATTAAATGCCTTTAAACCCACATACATTGTAAAAATATTTATGTGGCGGTTCGAATCTTGTTGTCCTAATATCGTTTATTATTTGTCTTTTCTTTGCTGCTCAATATAAGCCCTAGTCGGGCACCCTGACTAGAGCTTTCTTACTTGTATATTGGAAGGTTGAGACTACTATAAACTAGCAAATAAAGGCTTTGTGGTTTAGAGATAGTTTGCTGGCTGCTCTCAGCATCCAATCCAGTTTCTTTAATTGAGCCTTGCTTATTGTGGTCACCTGGCTTATATATGCAGTAAAAGTCAGCTTAATGACTCGCGGAAACGTCAAACACTTGTAAAGGACGCGAAATAATTAAATGCCTTTAAACCCACATACATTGTAAAAAAATTTATTGATATTGATTGCAAATTGATTATACAACTTGTACAGCGATGTATATTGATGTATTGACAAAGGCATAAACTTGCTTAAGACTTTCAAGTTAGTCAACGCCTTAAGATCATTGGCAAGCAACTTGTGCGCCGCTGTATCCCTTCTCTATCATATATATAAAAAATATTAAACTATATACAGTATTTCATTACTTATTGAATTTTGAAAAAAGTGAAGTAATTTTTGTTTTGGTTTTTCAACTAGTCATCTAATTATTTTATGAGACACATTTGTCTCGTTGTAAGCATAGATCTTTATATTTATTTATATTTTTATATCAATTCTGATGAACAAAAAAATTGCTAATGTTATCTAAGAACTACATTATCTCGATATTTGATATAAAAACCAGTTATGTATACACACATAAATATTATTGATTAATGCTTGAATTTTGCAAATAGTTTCCTCTTTTTTATAACTTACAAGTATTTAACAATTTTTGGCTGGTTATATTTCATTCAAAATTTAAGCATGTAAATCTCATTAACTCCTCGCTATGAAATTCTTATTTTGTGCTCGCTGTTCCCTCTTCCACTTCTCATTGTTAATCTAGTAGTCGGAAAAGTACGAAATACTCGTAATCCTTCAAAAAGATACAAAGTTGTCGCTGCCAAGGCACCTGATTATGCAAATTGACAGCAGTTGTTGCTGTTGCAACTGCAGCAGCTGCTGCTGTTGTCTTGGCCAGCTTCAATTTTCTTGGCCTTTATTCCTTTTTTTTGGCAACTTGCAACACTAATTACCTACATTAGGCAACCTGCACAACATCGCAACTCAATTAGCAACTGTAAGCGGCACTCGGCAAACTGTGCAACATAGTTGCTGTTGTTGTTCTTGTTGCTGTTGCGTCTGCTTTTGTTTGCTGCATTATTCACGGTATCCTTTGACCTTTCGGCCATAGCCAGTGTCGGCAGCAACAACTACGTAAATTATACAGCGCTTAAATACGCTGTTTTGTCAAATTAAACCAAAGCTAAATAAGCCAGTTGGCCAGGCAACGCCAATGAAGACTGAAAAGAGTTGGGTGGGCTGGGTTATGCCGGGACAGTGCACAGGAAGTTGCAGTTGAGCAGCCTGGCGACAACGGAAGCTGAGCCCAAAACAACAACAGCAACAACAGCAAAGCTGGACAAACTTTTGCGAAGCGGAATTGTAGCAGACACCCAACAACAACAACAAGTGGTGGGGGAGAAACTAGAGTGAAAGTGTTGCGGAAGTGCTGCTAAAATGAGAAAGAGAGAGAGAAAGAGCTAAAGAGCGAAAAGAGCGAGAAAGAGAAAGAGAACGAGTCAGCAGTTGGCATTAGGTAGCTGGACGCTTTAACGGATGTCGGACGCCATTTTGCTGTTGTGCACAAACATGGCCGCCATTTGGTAAACCATTTTGATTGCGAGTTTTATTCCGCTTTCAATGTTTGCAACACAATTATAATAAGTTTTTTTTTAACTGTAAAAACAAATACAAATTCAGCATTCAATTGCAATTTGTACTTAAAATTATATTTACTATAATAATATTAAATAAATAAATAATAAAATAAATAATATTATGAATTACTAAAATTGATTAAAATATTTTTATGGAATTTTCGTTAGTTTTATTTAAGCTTATAAATTCAATTAGACACGTAAATAGGTAAACACAATTGCATTACTGTCCTCAGCTGACTACATAGGGTATCGCAGCGTCGTTACTTCGAGTTTACCTACCTTTTGTTGTTTAAGTTTGCATCTAAATGTATTTATCCATTTGCATACCTGGAGGCGTTTATGCGTTTCAGCAACAGCAGCAACTACTTGAATCCCATTTCCATAGCCATTTACAATCCATAAACCTCTGCCTCGTTCTCCTTTTTGTTGTGGCCCTTTCGTTTACTTATGCATGCGCTGCGAGAGTCCAGCATAATAATTACAGTGCGCTATCAGCAGCGACATTCAGCATGAAAAATTGCCTGGCAACGCCACCTGTTGGGCAACTTCTTCTTGGCTACTTCTGCTCTCTTCTAACTGCAGTTTGTTCTGATTCCCCACAACAACAACAACAACAACTAACTATGCAAAGCCATAAAACGCAAGTGTCACACGGATTATTCATGAATGGAGCATGCAAATCGAGAAGCCAAGCAAACGAGCTGGGCGACTCAATAGTGCCTGAATAAAGATTCAGTGTTGGAAAATGTGAGCAAATTGAGTATTTTTGATATGAAATAACTACCAAAAACTTACTTTAATAAAAGTTTATGAAATAAAAAAAATCTATTGTAAATTTTATTTCTACTATATAATTAGAATAAATTATGAATGCTGGTTAAAACTATATGACAGATCTTAATATATATTTATATATTATAAAAGAAAATATGAATAATATTACATTAAGTTGTGAAGTGAATAGTAGACTAATATTAAATAAAAATATATAATGTCGAAATTGGGGATATATTTAAGACAAAAGACTGTAAGGAACTTAAATGTTTTTTATAATTAATTGATTTATATTATTTTCATTGTTATTTTAATTTTATTCTAATTGATTTAGTTTTATTTTTAGTTTATTTTATTTATCTTATTATTTTTTTTTTATTTGATATGTTTATATTTTTTATTTTTTTTATTAAGTATTTATTATCAATTTTGTTATTTATATTTATTATTTCCGTTCCGTTTTTTATGTTAATTATTTTATTACATTTTTATTAGGTATTTATTAAGTATTTTTTATCTATTTTGTTATTTATATTTATTATTTACGTTTCGTTTTTTATATTAATTATTTTATTATTTTTAGTTTTCTTATTTATTATATATTTTACTTACTTTTCTTCTCTATTACTTTTTAGTTTAATTATTTGTGTATGTTTATTATTATTATTATTTTTTTTAATAATTTTTTTTATTATAAAGGGTAAAAAGAAAAAGTCACGAAACGAAAAAGTAGATCAAATTAATCAGACTTTGGCAGTCCAACAAACGATGCCTTTGTACAGAGATGTCTATCCGAAGAGTAGAGTTCATTAATTGTTTAAATCAGGTTTTCATGTACTCAGAGATTATAAAATATGTACAACTCTGTCACTTTGCCAGCCAGTTTGCCATAGACACTTTTAATGTTTTGCATTCTATATAATTCGTGATAATTTATTTTTATCATTTTCAATTTAGTTAACAATGCGTATATATGGTACCCGCTAGGCCCGCATATGATACAAATATTGAATTTTAGCCAAGCTATTACAAACTAATGCAGCTTCATGCTCCAGCCTAAACTTAAAAATCTACATATACATACATAAATATATATCCTTAAGTTTTCTCAGGGGTTTTAACTCTAATGATTTTTACCTTGGTCTTGTTGATTACTTCACGCTTGGACCAATCCACGACATATTCCTTGTTCACTTTGGCAATGCTTGCCAGATAGCCCACATAGTCTACATCGCTGTCCAGGGCCAGGATTTCGCCATAGAGCGCACTCATCTTCAGGCTATAGCGTGCCAGAGCATCGGGCACTTCGTATTCATTGATTTCCGTCTCGTCGAAAAACTTGACCAGCACCTTGTGACCTTTTGTGAAGCGTTCACTGGCATCGGGCGCCTTCAGCTGACGCTGTAGCTCTAGCATATCCTCCTTCACCTGGCGCAGTGCATCCATTTTCAATTGCACCTGCTCTTTAAGCAGCTTTGTTATATCTTGGCACTGTTGCTCTTGGCCAGCGATAAATTCTGTTAGTTTCTCAATACTTGTATTCTTTGATTCATTCATAAATTTGCGCATGTCTGTAATACGCTTCACTTCGGGCAGTGCCAAATGATTGGTGCGACCGCTCAAGGAAATCAATTCCGGCATCTCCAGATTGGCTGTACCCATTATGTATTAAATAATAATATATGTTTTGTACATCTGAACTATTCAGATAGTTATTCTATGACAATAGTTCTCTATGAATTCGAGTGTTTGTTTTATATAAATAACATTTAACGCCTGCTTGACTATGTGAAACTAATATATATAATCATTTAATATTAAATAATACTTTATAAATTGTGTAAGCAAAGTATAACATTTTTAACTTTGATATGTATTTTTGATTCGATTTTGAAACCATTTTTATTTCGTTCCGCCCAAAATTATGCAATCCTTTGTTAGCCATTGTCGATTCTCTCACGTTTTATGAAATTTGTATTCAATTAAGCTGATGCTGGTATTCGGCTGCCTTTTTGACAGTTTTATACTAAATTTTCTTTTTTTCAACTCTGAAATTTAGTATTCTGTCCACTATTTAATTAACGAATTCAAACATTCCAATTGACACAAACATGAAAGCCAAAAGTTTTCGTTTTTCAAAGCGTTGATTGAAAAGCGCTTTATAAAAATGCTTTTACCCTTACAGAGGATACTATAAATTTGTTAAGGATTATGAAATACACTTAAGGTAAATAAAAAGATGTACAACTTAAGACATATATGTTTATATACTGTAGATAGATATAGATTGTTTTTTTTTTCAAAAGCTAACAAAAAGTAAAAAATAAATAATAAATAAATAATAAATAAAAAATTGCAGTAATTTTCAATAAAGCTATAATGAATTTGGTAAATCATAAAGATCAGTTTATAATAATGTGATTACTTTTAGATTTTATATATATAAACATTGATTACTTTTAGATTTTATATATAAACATATATAAAATCTAAAAGTAATCACCATGTTCCACAACAATTCATGAACAAAGTTCAGCCTATGTTTCAGGGTAAAACAGCTCGAAGCAGTTTTATGTTTGTTCATGCTCAGGCCGCTGTATAATTTTCGCTTAGTTTAATAATAATAATAGTTAATTTTGTAGTCTTGCCAAAATGTTAGTATTGTTGCAGAAAGTTTGACTAAATATGAGTTAAAGTTACATCGATTGGTTTCAACTATCGATTAGAAAGCATGCAATCTTATAATATTTTGCGATTTGGCGACATTTATAAAACGCTGAACTGGCGGAAAAATATTCAAAACATTTTTTAAATTTCCAATTAATTGTGATTATTAAAATTCGAACCTATCTAAATAATGAATAATTTCATTATAAGAATTTTTATGGCATATGCAAATTGCAATTGACAATAATAAACAAATATAAATATATATAATAAAAAATTATATTAGATCTGCCAAATGCACGTTTCAACTTATTTATAACTATATATTTATTTCAAGCTGATTACCTCATAAAACAATAACAACTGTCAGGACATTAAAACTTCATCAGTTTGCAGTCATCTCCTTTCTTTAGTTGTTTCAATTAACGTCGTCATATAAAATTATAAACTAAAACCAATAAACAAATATTCATGCATATTTTACGACAACAATTCTATCTGGCTATGGCAGTTATTATCGATTGATAAATATGCAGTTACAGCCCTAGTCGAAAGTATTTATACAACGCTCTTTCCACTTATTGAGATGAATGAATTAAACTAACAAATATCAGTTCTCAAATAATGTGTTTGTGTTTATTTTATAATCTCATTTTGAACTGCGCAAATGTAGAATTTTGTTACAGACTCAAACATATTTCGATATTTCAATTTAATTAGCAAATAGGTAAAATCGAACTAATATAATATATTATAATTATATATAATATAGGAATCAATTGAGGTCTTTTGAAATTGTTACCGAATAAGAAAGAGAACTAATTCAGCATTAAATTCACAAATTCCCATCATATAAATTGCTGTAAAATGTGTTTAAAAGAAATCGTTGAAGGAATTTAGAAAAATTTATTGTATAGACTTAAAGAGAACTGGGCGAAAAATTCCTAGAAATGTTCCTTGTGTAAATACTTTTGACTAAAGCTGTATATACATATATATACAGGCATATCTATATGTTATATATATGTGTGGTCTGGCATTTTGACACAGCTCTATTCTGGTATGCACTAAAAGTCAATTTATGCAGTTGACTTAATTTGATTTTGGCCTCAAATCATAGAATTGCATTCTTTTCCCATTTTAGCTAAAGGCAATCTGTGTACTTGAACATTTTACTCAATTGTGCATGTGTGTGTGGGTGTGTGTGTGTGCTAAAGCTATATAAAATTAAGTTGTTAATATTCGCTTTGGCTGAAGTGGCTATGATGTAAAAGCTTTCGACTCTCTTCTTAAAACAAAATTCCCAATTTTCGAAAGAGCTTTAACAATCTTAAATAATAAAAAAAATAATTTAAAAAAATATTAATTAACAATATTTTAAATCCAAATGTTAGTAAATGGAAAAATAAATAATAATAAATATATATTAAATAATACAAAATTTTATTTTAAATTTAAATTTACATTTTTTGGCAAATAAATCTGTGATGAAGTTTACGTCACCTAGTTCAGCGATTAAAATTAATTTCTGATGGATATTAAGACTAACACTTTTCATATCAGTAAACACACACACATTCGATTAAACTCTGCTTGCGCCATGTTGCAGGGTATGGCAAAGTAAGTAATCGTACGTGTGGAAAAGAAGCTGGCACTGATTGCAGCATAAATGATTGAAAATGTGTGGGCGGCTGTCGTCTAGCTAGGGCAGGAAGGATTGGCTGCGACTGAAAGAAGCAGGCAGTCCTTGCCCCTAGCATTTGAGCTGCTGCACGGCGGCAAGCTATCAGCATGCCGCATTCTTGCATGCAACAAAAGGTTCACATGCAACGAATTGACATCTGAGTAAGCGTTATATGAAAATTGATGGAAAATGCCAAAATATTTAAATCTAATTTCTGTGGCGGCGCCAGATAAAGAGAAGGAAAGCAAGACATAAAAACAGAGACAGAGAGAGAGAGAGAGTGAGAGAGAGAGAACGAAATAGCAAGGCAGATGAACTGTGGCCACTCGAGCTAGTTGCAAGTCCAACGATTTAAATATGCAGTCGCATATATATTTTTAGATAGCAGAAGACACAATAGAGCAGACAATGTGAATGCACAATAAATCACCAAAAAGCGCAGCCAGAGTGTCAACTGCGAAAGCGAAGCAGGGAAATTAAAGGGAAAATGCGTAAAAAGCGAAAGAAAATGCAGACGAATCGTCGTTCGTCGTTCGTCAGCGTCAGCGAAAGCAAAAACCAAATCATTTAATTGAATTATACGCGATAAAATTGCAATTTATTTTGAGAGACGAGTCGAGTCGAGTCGAGTCGAGTCAAACCGAACCAGCGACAGTTGCCGGCAATGTTGTCGTTGTCCTTTCCACAATGAAGACAGCAACAGCCGCAATCAGCGGCAACATCAGCAGCAGCAAGCAGCAACTGCCTGCTTGCAACACACACACACACTAAAAGTTGCATGCCAGATTTGCCCCCAATGTCCCGTTAAAGCGAAATGCGTATTATTAGCAACGCTCCGGCATATCTATGCCACCATCTATCTGGCTGCTGCACTCTTGCAGTTGCACTTTGCCTGACCCAGCCCGCTCAGTGGACACTCAGCTCCTGACTGTCATTTCCCTCACACAAATTGCATTGTTCTTGTTTACATTGTACATGGCTCGCTGTATTACGTGTGCGTGTGTGTGTGTGTGTGCATCACAAATTAATTGCATATTATGTGGCACTTAGTTGCTAACTGTAATGTGCCTTGGCGCATATTATAATGTTGCATATTGGAGATATTCTAAATGGCTAAGAAATGCCAGAATATGTCAGGAATTCGCTCGAAGCTTAGACTTGAGATACGACTTATGCACTGAACATATTTAGAAGTTGGTCAAAATAGCCAAATGATGAGAGGGAAATACATATTTTATTATTATATTATATAAATGGAAGCAGTTAAGCACGATAAAGTCCAGTCAAGGCAACATTTTGCAAGCTTAAAATAATAATAATAATAATAAATGATTATTATAATATTAAAAAGGCAAGTGACACAATCAAAATGTTTATATTAATAGCAATTACTTAAAGAGTAAACTTTGGGCAATGCAGTTTATGTTATATGCATAGGATGTTATAGAATAACGTAAAATAGCTTATTAAGAAAAGATTGAAATAATGTATTGCAGCTTGTCCACATTGAATTGATCAGAAGCAGCTTAAAATATTGTTAGATTATTTTAAGTATGGCAAAAGTATATGATTTTATAATAGCTGCATTAAGTAAGGTTATAGGCTAAGAGAACGCTTCATATAGTTAGCGACTCGAATCTGAAATGATAATGATGACTGATTCGAACTCGAAATGGAGGACACACTTCACACTGTAACAGTGCCTGATTCGAACTGGAAATGATAGTGGCAGCTCCTACACAAAAGATTCATGATTCGCACTCAAAGTGGAGGGAACATTTTATACACCAAAGATGCTTATAGACCAAAGATACACTAATAATGACGATTCAAACTCAAAATGAAAGTGACATACACTCATACACTCAAGGTTCCTGATGCAAACTCAAAAGTTTGCGGATTTGAACCCGAAACTCCTTAATAAAGGGTTTCTTTAGACAACTGATATATACAAATTATTGATTGCATCACCAGCTGTGCCTTTGTTACCAATCTATCTGTGTCTATTTGTTGTAAGCTTACATGCTATAAAGTAGTCAATATTGGCTGAAGTGACCTACTATATGAGCTTTCTGCCCCAAAAATTTGCTGTGCAAAAATTAAAAAATTATTTGAGGAATATAAAATTTTGCATTGCGACTTTACACAACAAATCAACAACTTGAAGCCATATCATATAGCCACAAGAGGAGAAGCTCATATGAAGAGTGTTTATCTAAGGGAAGCACAAGCTTCGCTTGTCTATAAAAGCCACATGGAATCAGTTTACTCTATTAAGAAGCTGCCTTCGAACAGGCAGCCATCAGTTTAAGCTCTCTAAGCAGACAGTTTCATATAATTGTGTGTTTCCACTTGATAAACAATTCAGTTATTAAACATTATGCTAAACTATTATTTTGCAATATT